TAATCTATATGCGTCAAAAATTTGATCTGATAACTCTTTTACTCTATTTGCATAAGATAAAACTCTTTCACTTTCCGACATAAAAATATTTCCTAATTCGCCCTGTAATTGGTATACAGTTTTGTTTGGTGAAAATACTTTCTTTAATTGTGTCCCCATATCTAGAATAGTTTTAAAAGTGTTTCCAGATACAGCTTTCCTAGCTTCACCTGTTAATTTACTTCGAATGAGTTTAACTAAATTTTCTTCTATTTGGGGAGATTCTGGTAACATTAATTTTGCTTCATGACACCCGTCGAGAAAAGTCGTCAGTGGTATATTTTGTCCATCAAACGAAGGGACTAATTCTAGTGCATCGCGAAGAGATACTTGTTGATTATTTGGAATAGACATTTTTACTGATTTCTCTAATAATGAAATAACAGATTCTTTGTTTGGTGTAGATAAAAAATTTGGATTTAGTTCAAGAAGATTATTTTCAAAAGCATTAAATGTTTGTTCACTTCCTATTTCTGTGCTAATTCTAAGAGTATCACTGTCGTCTTCGGAATTTCTAGAATCTAATGTATAAGTTTTGATAGGGGGAGAATGAACACATTTTGGACGAGTTTCTAAATTTCCGGCCCTAGTATGACTTCGAAGACAACGATCAGGTGTTGGGTTTGGAATGGGATCACTTTTTTCAGACATATAGTTTAATAAAATGTTGCATATTATTAATTTACCACTAATATTTTGACTGCTTTCACTTTTGGATCGACTTTCACTAATAGAATTGTCACTTGTGTTAAATGTAAGTAAGAAATAGAAGGATTTTTAGATTTATTGGTTCAAGAATTTTTTCTCCTCTCTCATTTTTTTTTTGAAAAATATTTTAGAAAAAAGAATGAATTTAGTTTCTCTTTCTTGTTCACAGCGGACGATGCACCAAAAATTATATTTCCTCTGTTACGTCTCAAAAATAAGAAATAACTTTAGAAACAATATTTTATTTTTATTTATTTCCGCTTCGGTGATTCAGGGTAATCCTGTTTCATTTACAGAGCAGAAGGCTCTGAGCTAAGGGCACAGGTAAGAAAGAGAATAGAAATTAATATAATTAAGTTACAATTTTATTTAGACAAATATTTAGAGTTAAAATAGTTCGTTCTTATGTGAGAGAGAGGGAATCTCGAACCAACCAATCCAGGAAAATGAGTTCAGCATTCAACTGAAATAAGGAATGCAAGGGTTACCACAAATATACGACTAGTTTAGAAAGTTAGGAGTGAAAAGATAAAACACTTACCTTAAAATTCAGTAATAGATATGTTGCAATAAAAAGGACCACTGCTGTGTCCTTTGTTGTCACAGGAAAAGTGCTGGTACCAGCGTGAGTTTATGACGTCAGGTAGGTTGACGGGCCCAGGTATAACCGCAGGTCCGGAGTTCTATTAGGCGTGACGAATGTCCGAAATAATGAGCCTCTTCCAAATAATGGAAGAATAGATAATTGCCCAATGCAAATAGTAGTAATGATCCTCGTTTAATGTAGAGGGTTTTGATACTTGATTTTCACTTTCGTATAAGAGAATTATGCACTTGAACTAGAAGACGTCGACTGGTACCAAGAATGAGATTGATGTTATACGTATGAAGATAATTTGAGAACTGGTTGATGTTATACGTATGAAGATGATTTGAGAACTGGTCTTTCCATAAAAATGTAGTCCTTTTATATTGAATATTCATAAGAGAATATATCTATATATTTTTCACCCTTATTTTGGAAGCCGATATTGAGTCCTTCTATACTGAACATTCGTAAGAGAATAGTGCTATATATTTTTCACCCTAATTTTGGAAGCCGATGTTGAGTCCTTCTATACTGAACATTCGTAAGAGAATAGTGCTATATATTTTTCACCCTAATTTTTGGAAGCCGAAGTTGAGTCCTTCTCTCTCAGTTAAACGTTAAAGAAGAGGGTTGTACCGTTCTAATACAGAATAGAAAGAGTACCACTCTTCTAATGTGGTAATACCACAGGTGTTCGTTACATGGGGAAATTAAAAGATTTCTCGCTTTTATTTCTATGTTTTAGAAATACAGTACATGGACGTAGAAAGATACAAAACGCAAGGGTCATTTATACATAAAAGAAAGATGTTCAGTCGCGCGACAATGGGGCGGGAGTTTTCATAAGAGAAAGGCATTTAAATGCGTAACAAAAGCACGGGTGTTTGTCGCAGAGACATACAATTCGGTATTGATTAAAAGAATTCTTATAATTATGAATGTAAAAGTTACGGTGACGTGACACATTGAATAATAAGAATGACGAATAATCTTAAAGAAAACAAAAATTGAAACATTAAAATTGTTATTTATTCTATATTATTATTTTCTACTAACCATTTATTCAAATGCACAATTTCTCAAGATGTAAGATAATAAAATTTAAAATATAAAAACTTTGTTTAATCTAAACTCTATTTAGTCAAAGTATCATCTAACCTAATTTTTAATATTTATAAATGTCATATGACATAATGTGTAAAACAACAAATGTTAATTCCATATAATGTTGTTATTCTAGAATGACCACTTTCTATAAAATTAAAATGCGCAAAAGTTATTTTGATCGAAAAAATTGACTGTCGTTTATACTTTACTTTTTTTTGTATAAGCTTCCCAGCTATGCAAACTAATTCATATCGATAATAGTAGATCCAGATGTCGCTACTGAATATTTCTGCTAGAATTAGAAAGAAATATTTCTCTGAAATTAAAGTTTCCATTGGATGCTGCTCTCTGGCGATGTGTATTTTTAATAATATATATACTCGTTTGTTGAGGTTTGAAGAATTTTATTCGTCTTCGTCATGTAGTATTAATTTTGGATGGAGGCGATATTATAATTGTATAAATACATCGAATCGGTAAATAAAAACTTTCTTTGAAAATTAAGAAAATCTCTAATATTTTTCTTTACTTATTTTCTGCTTATCAAATTCTCAACTAATTGTAATTTTCAAATAAAATTTTTTTTAAGGTTATGGAGATTTTTTAAAAACATAAAGTAATGTGTGAGAAACATGATTTACGGGACAATGATTTGTCACTGCAAATAATAGTCGTTTCAAGAGAATGGTTTAAGTTCATTTATAGAAAAATTCACTGTTTTTCTCTATGTTTGCATTGGATCGTATTTGGAAGCTGTAGCGTTTTCTCGAGTACTAGCAAAGGTTTTTTTGCCTCGAATGGATGAGAAAAATGAAAACTTTTTAGATACAGTAAACTAATTGTTGAATTCAAATACTGAGAGGACATTAATAATTTGCATTAGTTGAGTAGAGGTGATGGAATTAAATAAATTATTGGAAGCAAATGGAAAAACAACACTTGTCGCTCATAAGGAATTGCTTAATTATGAAAAATTAAAACAAGAACGAAAAATGGAATGGAAAATGGAATCAGAGTCTTTCCGGAATGTATCCAATCAGTCTATCAATGCATCTACAAAATCGAGATTTTACTACAGATTTTCAATAATGAGTGACACAATTGGACGGTAAGTTGTATATTTTCGAAACAAATACATGTTTTTAAACAAATATCCATTGATAAAAATATATAATGATTAAAATGTATATTAATTAAAATATACATCAATAAAAATATATATTAGTTCTAATATACGCTAGTAAAAATATATTATTATTGAAATATATATATTAATATAAAATATTTAAAATTTTTTGAAAAAATATGTTGAATTCGTGATTCCTTTCTAAAGGAAGAAGTTTGCACCATTTCTATTCTTTAATTTGAATTTTATTTTACAAAGTTTGAATTTTTTTTTAGAAGTAGGAAAGATTTATGTAGCAACGGACACTTAAGCTTTTTGGTGAATAATTTGTGTCCATATTTTTGAAATATTGATTAAATTCTTTTATTGCATACAGAAAGCTTCTTTTAACCTTTGACATTGATTCATTTGTAAAATAAACAAACCCATTAAGTGAAAAATAAGGAAAAATATGAGTATTAAAATCTTAACCTTCAACAATTTGTCGGGAAGCCCCGGACAAACGTGAAAATATTATATTTTTTAATAATTTCAGACCTCAGATCGATTTTAAGGAACTAAAAAAGTTGTATCTTCCACCTTCACTTCCTGCATCCCCAACTCCATCACCGCCTCCTGCTTCAACTTGACCAGTATGCCGAGGACTAATAGCCACTCGAATATTGGTTTACTTTTAAAATTAAATTTCAATATTTCAAAATGTCCTGTTTGTAAAGAGCAGATTGACCAAACTGTTAGAATCTTCTATTAATGTTGTTGTTGTTTCATCTTTTTAATTTTTTTAACATTTATTAATGTTAGAATCTTTTAACTAATGTTCTAATTTACTTCTAATTGATGATGTCTTATTATTTTATTATTCCATTTATTGTAAAATAATATAATTTTCTTAAATAATCAATAAAACATTATTTAAATATTTATCTTTATTTTTTAATTCTCAAAGTTTTTTAAATTTCAAAATTAAGGAAAAACTACATTTTTCTAAAAGGATAAGAAAAATAACAATTAGCAATATTAATTTAGTTTTAAGTAATCATAAAAAATTTACTTGGAAATTTATCTTCAATTTCAAATACCTAATTAAAAATTTTAAGAGCTTTAATCATGATTTAAATTAAAGGGTCGTTTACATTTAAATCACGATTTTAATAAAAATTATCATTTTTCCTTCAAAGAATAAGAGAAATACTTTAAAGTAAAAACAACATAAAAGAATATTAAATTGAAATTAATTTATATAACTTCATTTTAAAACGATTAAATGTCAATTATTTTTAATAATCTAAACGACAAATCTTTCAAAATTCAATTATTTAAAAAAAAATTTGTTTAACATCTCCTTAAATTCAGTTATTTTTAAAATATCTCAACTTAAACTCTTTTGAAATTCAATCTTTAAGAAACTTTGAATTTACAAATTCTCTAAAATTTATGTTGCTAAAGTTCTGAACGTTTAACAGGTAACATAACATAACATAACATAACTTGGCACACAAGACAAATAAACTGATTTAATTATAAAAAAATTAAAAAATTTTAATTATTAAAAATTCTAGTAATCATTAAGTACGGATCCCTGCAATGAGGACAGAGTGTTTCTCCTCTTTCCTGGAACTCTTCGGCGCATGTGTTGCAAATAATAAAATGTCCGCAGGGAACGAAGGTCCTCGTTGCTGACATTTCCTGACAAATACAGCACATTGTCGGCTCTTCTGTGGATGGAATATATTTTAATTAGGTCATATTTTTTATTATATATTTTAATTTTATTTTTGAAAAGTTTTCGATCTAATTCAAGGGTACTTTTTCACGTGGGAAGTGAGAGAGTTAATTTAAAAACAACCAAAGTCTCACCTCTATCTGTTTGGACTGCAATCTCGGCTCTTTCAGTGGGTGGAAGCATGAGGGGAACATTTCTTTCTGGGATCAATTCCTCATTTAAATTAATTTCCATGTCTTGATTTTGAATGTTTTGAGGTGGTGCTGGTAACACTGGCAGAACAGGTGGTTCTGCTTGTTCCATTATTTGGCCCTCTTCGTTATTTTCATAATTCCTATTATTCTCATTATTTTCTTCATTTTCCACATTCGTAACCTTCTTCAATTCGAAAATATTAATTGCGTCTTCTACGCAAATTGCGAAAGCACATTTCAGTACCTCTTGGGGCGTATACGTGCCGTTATCCAAATTCTCCCAAAACCTCTTAATATTTTTTTTCGATTTTTCTATGATTTTTGTTGAATAGCAATTTCTAGAATTATTTGAATCTATGTTAGCTTTGTCTTTGAATGTTCTTGATTGAAGGTCAATGATTTTTTCTATAATTAAGCAACAAGAATACAATCAGAAATCGACTACTGGTGCTGTACTGACCACTACTGGCTCAGTACTGGTACCCAGTATTGGTGCCAGAGATGGCGTTACTTTGGGATGATAACACAGCCCCACAAAAAAAAAAAGTTTCATGTACTTTTGACCGGAATACCCTAACCCTATGTATTTTGACGCGCTGAACATAAATCCGAAGTCCGTTTTGCTCCATCACGTCAGGATTTTTTTCTAACCTCAAAAAACATGTCGGATTTTGAGAAGTAAGCGATTTTTTTAAAAATTGATGTATTAACTTCAAACTTGGTATCTGGGGGTTTTTTGTGTCGCTGATTACGAATCTGAAGTTAGATTTTCAAATTCCAAAATGGCGGATCCAATATGGTGGATGAATTTTGAAAAAAATTTAAGATTTACTTCAAACTTGGTATCTAGGGTTTTTTTGGGTCGCTGATTACGAATCTGATGTCAGATTTCCGAAATTGGATATGTCTGATTCAATATTAAGGAATTATTTTTAAAAAATTGTCAGATTATTATGAAATTTGGTATCTACAGGTTTTCTAAGTTGCTGAAAAGTAACACTAGGGATGTGCCATACGCCGATTTTTCTGAAACTTGGCAGTTTAGTAGTTTTTGGAAAACAATTTGAGACGTATGTTTTGTTTTTTCCCAAAAGCTGATTTTTCGGGGGGAACTACCCCTTGAATTTTTTTTTGGTAGGGGGACATTATTTTACAAAATTTTTTAAAAATTAATGTGCAATAGTGTATCTGGGGGTTTTTTGGGTCCCTGATTACTAATCTGATGTCAGATTTCAAAAATTCAAAATGGCATATCACCATGGACTTCTATCGGCCATATTAGATACGCCATTATCAATTTTTGAAAACTGACATCAGATTCGTAATCAGCGACCCAAAAAACCCCCAGATACACTATTGCACATTAATTTTTAAAAAATTTCGTAAAAAAATGTCCCCCTACCAAAAAAAATTCAAGGGGTAGTTCCCCCCCATAAATCAGCTTTTGGGGAAAGACAAAACATACGTGTCAAATTGTTTTTAAAAAACTACAAAACTGCCAAGTTTCAGAAAAATCGTCGTATGGCACTTCCCTAGTGTTACTTGTCAGCAACTTAGAAAACCTGTAGATACCAAATTTCATAATAATCTGACGATTTTTTAAAAATAATTCTTTAATATTGAATCAGACATGTCGAATTTCGGAAATCTGACATCAGATTCGTAATCAGCGACCCAAAAAACCCCTAGATACCAAGTTTGAAGTAAATCTTAAAATTTTTTCAAAATTCGTCCTCCATATTGGATCCGCCATTTTGGATTTTGAAAATCTAACTTCAGATTCGTAATCAGCGACACAAAAAACCCCCATATACCAAGTTTGAAGTTAATACATCAATTTTAAAAAAAATCGCCTACTTCTCAAAATCCGACATGTTTTTTGAGGTTAGAAAAAAATCCTGACGTGATAGAGCAAAACGGACTTCGGATTCGTGTTCAGCGTGTCAAAATACATAGGGTTAGGGTATTCCGGTCAAAAGTACATGACACTTTTTTTTTTTGTGGGGCTGTGTAACATTTTGTCAGTACTGATTGCCAGAGTTAATACAATACTGGCAACCAGTACTGATCCAGTAATAAATATTTGTTTTATTGCATTAAAAAGCAGTAGTATGGCTTGAAACGGTATTGCCTTCTATTTTATTCATACTTTGAAATATCCTGAATAACAATATGTCCAGTATGAAAAATTGAAATATGAGAAATAACTTTTTAAATAATAATTATTAATATTGTTTTATCAACTATTATTAGCATTAGTAAAAATGTAAATAATGATTAAAATTAGTTTCATTGAAATAAGTTTTTTTAAAAAAAAGTGTTAGTGAATGTGCAAAAATTTCAAGTCTAAGTGAAAGTAGAGAAATGTCAAGTGTAAATGTAAGTCTCAGTGTAAGTAAAGTAAAGGTCAAAAAATTTTAAGTGTAAGTGTGAAAATTATAAGTGTGAGTGCAAGTGAAAGTGAATATGTGAAAATTTCTAGTGTAAGTGAAAGTGTAGGAATATCAAGTGTAAATGTAAGTGGCAGTGTATGTAAAGGGTGAGTGAAAATGTAAGTGAAGTGTCAGTAAAAGTGTAAGAGAAAATATAAAAATTGTAAGTGGAAGTTTAAGGAAAGTGTTAAAATTATAAGTGAGAGTGCAAGTGAAAGTATATAAATTTCATGTGTAAGTGAAAGTGTGAGTGAAAATGTAAGTGAAGTGTCAGTGAAAGTGTAAAATTTGGAGTGTGAGTGTAAGTGCAAGTATAAAAATTTTAAGTAAAAGTGTAAATGAAAGAATAAAAAGTGAAAGTGTAAGGAAAGTGTTAAAATTATAAGCGTAAGTGTAATCACGCGAACGTTCCCCAGAAAGTGTAAAATTTTTTAGTAAAAGTGTAAGTGAAAATGTAAGTGAAAGGAGGTGCAAATGAAAGTATAAAAATTTTGAGTGAAAGTGTAGGTGAAAATGTAAAAATTATAAGTGTGAGTGAAAGTGTAAGTGAATGTGAAAAAATTGCAAGTGTAAGTGAAAGTATAGAGATGTCAAGTGTAAATGTAAGTGTCAGTGAAAGTAAAGGTGTAAAAATTTCAAATGTAGGTGTAAGTTAAGATGAAAGTAAAAGTTTCAAGTGCAAATGTAAGTGTAAGTGAAAATGATGGTGCGGAAATTTCAAGTGTAAATGTAGGTACGAAAGAATTCCAAACGTTTCTTGTGCGGATCATGTTCACCTTGTTTATAAATTATTATTATTTTAATCTTACTAATAAAGTTCCAAATTTCTGGTGTTTTTCCCAGCAGTACATTTAGTCTCGCTTCGTAGAGTAGGAAAGCATCCGTTAAATGGTCTGTATTTCTGTAAACTGACAGCTTTTCGACGGTGATGTTCTCTATAAGCGTTAAGGATTCTCGTAAAAACGGTTGTGCCTCTTGTTGATCTGTCATTCCGTTGATTAATTGGTGGATTTCACCACTTGGCAGTAATGGCAGCGATAGCAAATTTTTCATTAATAATTTAATTTCATTGTTAACGATTTCTTCATCTTCTACTTTTAAATGATTTGAAGATTTCTACAAATCTTTTATTTGTTGGTTTGTTTATTTATTTATTTACTTATTTATTGAAATTTATTGAAAGTATAGAAATGTCAAGTGTTAATTTCAGTGTCAGTGTAAGTAAAGGTGTAAAAATTTCAAGTGTAAATCTAAGTTAAAATGTAAGTGTAAGTGAAAATTAAAGTATAAAAATTTCAATTGTAAATGAAAGTGAAAGTGTTAGTGTAAGTGTAAAATTTTAAGTGAGAGTGTAAGTGAAAGTATAAAAATTTGAATAAAAGTGTAAGTGAAAGTGTAAGTGAAGGGTAAAAATTATAATTGTAAATGTAAATGGCAGTGTAAGTGTAAGTGTTTAAATTTCATGTGAAAGTTTAAATGAAACTGTACGTGAAAGTATAAAAATTGTAAGTGAAAGTGTAAGTGAAAATGTAAATGAAAGTATAAAAATTATGAGTGAAAGTGTAATGAGAGTGTAAAAATTGTAAGTGTGAGTGTAAGTGAAGTGTAAGTGATTGTATAATTAAAAGTCTCTTTATTTATTTTCATTCCTTTATGTACACCGAAAAAAAAATTCTTAAAAGAAGAGGAAAATTCCTCTTGCTAAAATCCTCTTGAATCAAGAATATTCCTCTAATTCTTCGAGTATTTTCCTCTTATTTTAAGAGGAATAATCTTAAATGCAGAAGAATCCTCTTAAAATAAGACGTATCCTTTTGCAGCATATACAAGAGGAAAATATGCATTGAAATAAGAGGAATCCTCTTGATCCAGGAGGATTTTTTTTCGGTCTAATAATCCATTTATTATTCTTTATCTTTTTATTCTAACCTCTTCATAGCAATAAAAACTTCCATGAACATCCGCTTCTGGAAAGACAAATTCAAGAGCAGCCTCCATGATTTGGTTGAATAGAGTAATCACTGTCTCCATCAGCATTTCGGGCATTATCTCTCTCAATTTTAAAAATACATTATTGTACGACTCCAATGTGTTGTTTGTCATCAGGACCCATATAATGGGGAGCACCTAGATACAAATATTAGGCATTTTGAAAAATAAAAGTGTCCTCTAAATTGAAAAAAGTATCAAAAATCCCAACATGTACTTACAAAGTTTTTGTCGCCATAAACAGCCATTATTGTCACCAATTGTTGGCATCCAATATTAGATGGGAAGTGCTGCTTTACTTCATTAATAAAAAAAAATTTTTAGCCATTACAGATCTAGTGAAAGCCACATCTAAAATTATTAGTGACATGTTGTCGGTAGTCATCTCGAGTTCCAGGGTGCCATCAACATATCTTCTCAGATGACTCTAGGCATTTGAATTCAAAGTATCTCTGAGATCTTCAAGAGATTCTGTTAATATAAATGATGGTGGAATATTGTTTTTTCTCGCGTTTATCAGTGAGGTTTTCAACTGAGCAAATGGCAATCGTTGACTTGCACTTTGGTGGCTAAAAAAAATACATTTAATAAAGAATTACAGGATTTTTAATAAAAATAAATAATGAAAATTAAGTAATAAATAATTAATAAATAATAAAAATAAATAAAAAATTAGTAATGTTATAAAAAATAAATAATAAAAAATAAATAACAAATAATAAAAATAAATTATCAAATGTAAGTAAATAATAATAAATAGATATTAAAAAATGAAAAATTAATAATAAATAATAAAAAAAATAACAAATAATAAAAGAAAAATAAATAAATTAAAAAGAAAACTTAATAAATGATTCATAATTAAATTAATGATATATAAATAAATAATAAAATATACATATTACAAAATGAATAATTAAAAATAAATAATAAACAATTCATAAATGATTAGTAAATAATAAAAAATGAATTATTGAAAATAACTAATAAAATATAAATAATTAATAATTAAATTAATGAATTAATAAATAATAAAAAAAGAAATAATAAAAACTTAATAAATAATTCATAATAAAATTAATTATATTTATTTATTCATATATATATATATATATATATATATATATATATATATATAAACGGGCTTACAAAACAATAAAAGTGCACTTTCGTACAAAGTACTAAGAAAAAAAATTTAGAAATAAATGGTTTGAATAATTAATAAATAATAAAATATAGATATCACAAAATGAATCATTCAAAATAAATAATAAAAAAGAATAAATAATATTTAACAAATAATAAAAGAAAAAAAAGAAAAAAAATTATACAAAATAAAAAATAAATTTATGATAAAAAATAAGTAATAAATAATAAAAAAGAAATAATGAGAAATAAATAATTAATAACAAATAATAAAAAAAATAAATAAATAATAAAGAAATAATAAGAACTTAATAAATAATTCATAATTAAATTGATAATATTTAAATAATTAATAAATAATAAAATGTAGATATCACAAAATGAATAATTAAAAATAAATAACAAATAATAAGAAAAATTACAAATAATAGAAAAAAATGATACAAAATAAATAAAAATAAGTTATAAATAATAAAAAATAGATATTAAAAAATAAGTAAAAAAATAAATAATAATATTATCTTACAAATCTGCTGTCGAGTTATAAATATCAATCAGCGGTCCAGGTTGTGTCGTCGCTGACGTCTTTAATGTCGTCTTGAAGGAGGTGTTTTCTTCATATAAAAGTGACGCATCAGTCGTGTGACTATGTTCCCTTGTCATTGCAAATGTACCATCTACATCCAATTTTCCACGTCCACCACAATTTTTTTTCTTATGAAAAATACATTTTAAGTATCTGTAACAATAATAAATTTAATATAATATACAATTATTTTTCAATTAATTTTTATTAATTAAATAATATATTTGTCAAATAAATAAACAATTGCTCAAGTCTCATTTTAAAGTAAAAAAAAACCTTTAAAAAAGAATAAAAAAAAAATTTTCCACTCCAAATCTTTAGAAAGGGAAAGAATTTGAAATTTATAAAATATACTCACATCACATTTCTGATTAAACTATATTTCATATAATGATGTCCATGGAAATTATATAGTCGAGGCATTTTGTGACGAATCAGAATTACCAAAAAGTGAAATGTAACTCGTTTTGCTACCAGAAGACTAATAAAAGTATTGAATATAAAACAATTGCCTGATGATGAGAAACAAAGAAAGATGAAAAACAGTTGAATTAATTTGTTTATCACCTGGTAACGTGTTAATTCACGGAAAGATAACACGATCACATTTTAGCATTAAAGATCAGGAACTTCATTAACAAAATCATTTGTTTTTTAATGCTAAAATTTTTTCCGTGAAATAAATTTTCCGGCAATTGACACCTTACCCACCTCTTTCACAATTCTGAGTTTATACAAGGTGTAAAAAATATGACAAATACCAAAATTTAACTCAAATGAAAAAATTATTTTAGTTAATACAAATCCTAATAAAAAAAGAGTACAAGTGTAAACACGAGAAATTTTAATCTTGCTTTTTGTTTTTTTTTAAGTTCTGTAGATTCGTAAATTTTGAGTTAAGGGGAAAAGTTTGTTAGGATAATTTGTAGAACTATGATTATTCTATCCAGAACTCTACTCTGAACTCACAAAAAGTAAATTTTTTGCAAAATTATATTTTTTGCATTTTTAAAATACTGTAGATTCTTAAATTTTGAGTTGAGGGGAAAAGTTTGTTAGGATAATTTGTAGAACTATGATTATTCTATCCAGAACTCTACTCAGAACTCACAAAAAGTAAATTTTTTGCAAAATTATATTTTTTGCATTTTTAAAATACTGTAGATTCTTAAATTTCGAGTTGAGGATGAAAGTTTGTTAGGATAATTTGTAGAACTATGATTATTCTATCCAGAACTCTACTCAGAACTCACAAAAAGTAAATTTTTTGCAAAATTATATTTTTTGCATTTTTAAAGTACTGTAGATTCTTAAATTTTGAGTTGAGGGTGAAAGTTTGTTAGGATAATTCGTAGAACTATGATTCCTCTATCTAGAACTCTGCCCAGAATTCACAAAAAATAAATTTTTTGAAAATTATATTTTTTGCATTTTTAAAATACTGTAGATTCTTAAATTTCGAGTTGAGGATGAAAGTTTGTTAGGATAATTTGTAGAACTATGATTATTCTATCCAGAACTCTACTCAGAACTCACAAAAAGTAAATTTTTTGCAAAATTATATTTTTTGCATTTTTAAAGTACTGTAGATTCTTAAATTTTGAGTTGAGGGTGAAAGTTTGTTAGGATAATTCGTAGAACTATGATTCCTCTATCTAGAACTCTGCCCAGAATTCACAAAAAATAAATTTTTTGAAAATTATATTTTTTGCATTTTTAAAGTTCTGTAGATTCGTAAATTTTGAGTTAAGGGGAAATGTTTGTTAGGATAATTTGTAGAACTATGATTCCTCTATCTAGAACTCTGCCCAGAATTCACAAAAAATAAATTTTTTGAAAATTATATTTTTTGCATTTTTAAAGTTCTGTAGATTCGTAAATTTTGAGTTAAGGGGAAATGTTTGTTAGGATAATTTGTAGAACTATGAGATTTTGCATTTTTCAGCTATATTAACTCAATGTAACTGAAAAATAATTTTTTTTTTAAATAATTAATTTTTAACAATTTTTGAAAATTTTGGAAATTTTGAATTTTTTTAAAAATTAAAAAAATTTATCAAAAAATAAAAAATAATTTTTTTTTCAAAAATAATTAATTTTTAACAATTTTTGAAAATTTTGAAAATTTTGAATTTTTTTCAATAATAAAAATTATCAAAAATCATTAGATTTTGCATTTTTCAGCTATATTAACTCAATGTAAATGAAAAATAATTTTTTTTTCAAAAATAATTATTTTTAACAATTTTTGAAAATTTTAAAAATTTTGAATTTTTTCAAAAATTAAAAAAAATTATCAAAAATCATCAGAACTTGCATTTTTCAGCTATATTAACTCAATGTAACTGAAAAATAATTTTTTTTTCAAAAATAATTAATTTTTAACAATTTTTGAAAATTTTGAATTATTTCAAAAATTTAAAAAAATTATCAAAAATCATTAGATTTTGCATTTTTCAGCTATATTAACTCAATTTAACTAAAAAATAATTTTTTTTCAAAAATAATTAATTTTTAACAATTTTTGAAAATTTTGAATTATTTCAAAAATTTAAAAAAATTATCAAAAATCATTAGATTTTGCATTTTTCAGCTATATTAACTCAATTTAACTAAAAAATAATTTTTTTTCAAAAATAATTAATTTTTAATAATTTTTAAAAATTTTAAAAATTAATTATTTTTGAAAAAAAATTATTTTTTAGTTAAATTGAGTTAATATAGCTGAAAAATGCAAAATCTAATGATTTTTGATAATTTTTTTAAATTTTTGAAATAATTCAAAATTTTCAAAAATTGTTAAAAATTAATTATTTTTGAAAAAAAATTATTTTTTAGTTAAATTGAGTTAATATAGCTGAAAAATGCAAAATCTAATGATTTTTGATAATTTTTTTAAATTTTTGAAATAATTCAAAATTTTCAAAAATTGTTAAAAATTAATTATTTTTGAAAAAAAATTATTTTTTAGTTAAATTGAGTTAATATAGCTGAAAAATGCAAAATCTAATGATTTTTGATAATTTTTTTAAATTTTTGAAATAATTCAAAATTTTCAAAAATTGTTAAAAATTAATTATTTTTGAAAAAAAAATTATTTTTCAGTTACATTGAGTTAATATAGCTGAAAAATGCAAGTTCTGATGATTTTTGATAATTTTTTTTAATTTTTGAAAAAATTCAAAATTTTTAAAATTTTCAAAAATTGTTAAAAATAATTATTTTTGAAAAAAAAATTATTTTTCATTTACATTGAGTTAATATAGCTGAAAAATGCAAAATCTAATGATTTTTGATAATTTTTATTATTGAAAAAAATTCAAAA